AGGGTTTAGAAGGGGGGCAGTGTAACCGAAATGGCCTGGGGTACTCACGTTTGGAATGGGGGATCGAAATTCATGGTATTTCAGTAAATGGGAGCCCCATTTGGGCCCCATGTTGATGTGTTTTTTACGTAAAAATATCATCTCCTGTTTGAGAACAAGAAATAGCAGGTATAGAAATAAAATTCCTTATTTAAATGCACCATTCCACCCTCGTCTCGAGTAACAATGGGCCCGTCCTTCGGCGATGAAACTGTTGTTATCCCTGTCTGACAAGGGCAAATTAAGATATAGCGGCTTTTAGCCACCCCGATTATGCACTGCATTTTTGCTTAGTGACAGCACGACTTCAATCGCCAAAGCATCCGCTATTCTGTACGCTGCGCGTAAAAATGTTACGTCAATTAAAACGTCACAAAACGTAAAGGAGGTACACAAGCAAATAAACCCGTCTAGGGTAGTTTATAAAGTTTAATATACCTGTCTAAAGTAAAATTAAAAGCAAATGAATCCGTAAAAATTCCGTCCAGGGTAAAATCAAGCCTTGCTGCAACCTGTCCAACTTGTGACATCGTTGAGTCGGGGGAGTCAAAAAGATTCCAATAATTGTGAAATAAGTGTCAAAAATATATGCTGCCAAGAGTTCTGAATTGTGTGTAACAGTGACAATTCTGAACCTCTAAATTAAGCTGATTAGGCGTTCTTGCGTCCAGTAAGGAGAGTTGGTTCCCTGAGTCAAGGACTACCAAAATCCGTTGGCACTTCTAGTGAAACTGCGTTAATGCACAGTGAGTGTTGCGGCAGTGTTTTCAGTGAACAGTGTTAAAATAAATAGGGAAAAAATCACTGCATTGTGGGTCAAATAGACCGTAATAGCTGGTATTAGTTTTAAGGTTTTATAATTATATGGGATTAAATTGACAATTAGTTTAATTCCATCTCAAGTAGACGAACCACCTTCGAAATACAGTTTATTTCAAGGAAGTAAAAAAACACGCTTTTGTGCTCAGAAATTTGAATTCCTTCGTGCACATCTCCTTTCAATAAACTGTTAAGCACGAACGAAATGACGTAGCGTGCTCAAAATCTCACAGCAGTCTACTAACAGACGACAGTAGACGGGAAATGTATTGAATTTAAAGCTACTGCGCGGAAAATAAATTCAAAACGTCACTAACTTATCAAGCGACCCTCGTATGTTGAACTATAATTTATTTAAGAAAACATAGCTCCAGGAAATCGTGTATTGCAACCCGATTTCGAGACATAAAATTCTCGCAATTTGGGTCTGAGATAGGAAAGCTGCTTGAGCCCTACATTCAACAATTTGTTCTAAATTATACAGGGTGTCTTTAAATTACTGATCTTCCAGCTAAAAATAAAAACGGGTTCAATTCCTTTTTTTTTCAATGTAACAACCTGTATAAAGTCCACATAACATTCACTATGAAATGATATACAGTGCGACTTCAATAATGCGGACTAACTAAAACCACCCTTATCCAGATTAGTGAATAATTCGGATTACTGAAGCAAAACAGTTTTATTTAAACATTAAATACGATGAGATCGATAAATACGAAAGCTCCGATGAGCGGACAGTCACGAAAAAATAACCGGTTATGGGAGGTGTCCGCGTAATAAAACAGTAGTGTATTTAACTAAAGTTGTAGAGTGTTGGTCCAAGAACTGAGCCTTGGGCCACTCCCGCCTTTAGAATATACAAGAATGAGTTTTAAAACATTTGAAGAATTATTGAACATTTTGAAACCGTTTATCACAAAAAAGATACAAGGCCATAGTTAAAGACTGAAAAAACGACACTATATCGGCTACCCGTAAACTGACCGCGGTATGTTCTGTAAGTAACTAAAGTGGTAAACGTGCGGAGGACCGCTGGAGGGCCCGCATGGATCCAAGCAACCGCTCGGCTAAACTTTAAGCCACATGAATAGTATGGATAGAAACCGTGTTGTTCCGTAAGATAACATACATTTTTTTACGCATTGTATGAACCAGACGGCGGGCCGCATGAGAGCTACCCGCTTAGTGTGTATGTACCCTTAGCCTCCAAATATTGCATTTTGAGCAGCTTCTCATATTCGGTTAATTAGCCTAAACGAGTGGCCTCTTAGCGGTACTACAGAAATGTGGGGACAGGGGGAAGGCGGTAGACAAGTCAAATAGTTCATTGGAGTCCAAAGTAACGCCAAAGCAACACCCAAATGATTGACGTCAAAAAGTGGCTGGACCCTGAGAACCCTGGTTGGGGTCAGGACAGGCCACTGTGTATTAATTACAATTAATGCACGGATCGGATGATCGAATCGGGATCGCTAATTTCAGACTAAACCCAGCTGGTAAGAGCTAATAGGCTCGACCGGTCCTTGGAGTGCCTGAAGTCAATGCACCTGGAAATTTGCACTTGCCTACGCCAAAAGCTCATGACGGCTGTGCTGATGCTTAGTATTTAGAATTATTTGAAGTGCACACTTTTGAACTGATCTAGCATTCCTTTAAGTTTCCAAATAGCCCAGTTAAGTTTGATTTAGTTGTCTGCCGTTAGGTTCTGAAAAATGGAAATTACATTTCCGCAAGTCTTTAGCTTCTCATAAAATAGATTATTTGTGTACTCAATAGTCAGCCAGCCTGTTTACATATTTGACTTTTTCCTTAATTTCGCTGAGCCTTTTAAAAAACAAATGAACTTACCAGTCAAACAGAATTTCTCTGGTGGCCTCGGAATCCATTGGCCTGGGCTTCGTTTATTCCTGGTAGGTGCTCCTTCGATGTATTCTTTTTCGGCATCATTAAGTTTCGATTCGAGCTCCATGACTTTTTTCTGTAAACGGATTACAGATGTCCACTTCTTCTCCAGGAGTCCTCCAAATTTTTTTTCCACCTCACCGGGCATGTCTGCTTCTTTTTTGAATGCATCCAGTGCTTCAGTATATCCGTTACTGTTCAAATAATCAGCGATGGCTTTGTTACTGAAAATAAACAAAGCAATTTTACTTGAGGAACATATTCTACTACAACAGTGTGAAAATGATTCAGCATTAATATACAGGTGTTGTCTGGGGATATGTAGGAAATACAGAAAATACCTATAGTAAAAAAATGGTGTGCGTCACGAGACGCTCGACAAAAGTGATAACTTCATATATTTATAGAAACCATAAAATATCGAACTTGTTTAACGCATGATGGCAATAATTATTTTATTTTATGTTAGTATTATTATTTGTTTAATAATTTATAAATAGATCAGGAATAGGTAAAATGTAATTTAATTTCCTTTTGAATGTAAAATATTTTTTTATTTGCAACATTTAATATTCTTCAACGAGAGGTTGTACATATTGTTCTTCTTGGGTTTGTGTAAACTCTTCTTCTTCTTGAGTTTCTGTATTTTTTAGTCGTAATTTCTTATTTGCTTTGTATAATATTTGACGATCAGTTGCAGAAAGCTACTTTGACTTGATCTACTACTGAATGCTCATTGTTTGGCACAAAATCGTTTTTGGCGTTCAGCATTACTGAATACTTTTCGCTGCTTTAACTTGTATCTGATAGAACTAAAAAATCAATTAATTTTGGTGATTTAAAGACGTTCTATCTGTTTAAAATATACGGTAAAACGAGGAAGAGCTATAGAGACAGGTTACGCTTGACACACTATATGTATACATACATAGTCTAAGCCATCGCGCGTAGATTAAAAAATATATTCTAACTGAACTAATCCAAGACTAAAAGATTAAACTAAATTGAGAAGATTTAATCATAAAGGAATCAAAGGGTATATGAAGGGAAAAAATCAATTTTGATGCGTGGTAAACACAATTAATCATAGAAATAATATAGTGAATTGAAAATAAGCCCTAATAAATTCGTTTTACAAGTTTTGCAACTATAAGCTGAAGAGATTCGCATCGTCTTAAAATCAAGAATGCGTTGCGTGATAGAAAATAAGAAGACGGAACCCATGTTTTCTGAAGTAACCGAGGTAAACTCAAATATTTTGTCAATTAAATTCAAAGCATATTTATTATATATTATTACAAAACAGTAATGATGTTTACCATTTTATGTTAAATATGAAAGATTACAAAATAGATATCCAAATATTGATTATTTGTTGTTACAAAATAAAATAACAAATAATAGAACATATTATTGCATTAAAAGTTATTAACAATAGTTGTCACTTTATTTGCACTTAATCTTGAGCGTTTTTCATAAATTGACCATGGTTTAACAATTGTCTCCGATGAAAATCACTAAACAAGTAGGTAGTAATATGTTACCGAATCGTGCAATACAATGCAAATGGACATCATCAGGGCAGGATCTGGACTACAGACGGAGGGTAAGACATAGGGAATCGATACCGGGATTCTATCGATACGATTTAATTTAATATTTTCTTGATACAAATGTATATATAATAGGTCCAACAGTTTTTCAAAAACTTTATTGTAGTGGATCTTAGGCACAATTTTGTTGCACAACATCGATTGTTAGTTCTTTAAACAATATTTAACAGTACACGGCAATGGGCAATCTATAAAATACTGATAAATACCCGGTCGTTTGAACATATTATGGACGATCCGCATTTTCTTGCACTTAAACTGCTTTAGTATGTTCCGTAACAATTATTTGTGTGTGTACTTTAATTGGAAATTAAAAAGAACGCGAAACTCGAACATATAGTACATGAGCACAATTACTTAGTATTTGCAGTATCTGCAGCTTCTCCTTTGTTAATTTGTTGATTTATTGTTATCAGCGTTATAAAATAAACTGCACCACAACAACAATATCACTCTCAATAATTGATATATCAAAATCACCGTCAGTTTAATAACGCAATCTGTATTTGAAAAGTTTATCAGATCTACAGATGCACCCGCACTAAGAGAAAAATGTCGAATTTAAAGTGCATATGTGCGTCCCAAGCCTCAGGCGCGAAGAAGCCGGAGTGGGAGCCGCCGTTACCGAGAAAAATCTGTTCACCGTCCCATAAAAAGTTTTCACTTCAAAAAGTAATTCTTACAAAAACCTGAGATATTGTCAAAACACTAAATCGGATATTTTGCAACAATGTATAGTATATTTCATAACAGATAACAGGAGAAACTGGAAAGCCAATAAAAATAGAAGCATCATTTTACTCATGAAGTTATCAATTGGTCCGAATGAGTTCCTTAGTTTTTCATTTGAGCTTTCACATATAATAGTATATTACATAATTAGAGTTGAAAGGAACACTTTACGTAATTGCGTTACAACTCGAATTATGTACCATACTTTACTTACGACCGCAATAACTTACTAAAAATTAAAGAAAATATTGGATATTGTAACAGAAATGGCCTGGGGTACTCACGTTTGGAATGGGGGGATCGAAATTCATGGTATTTTAGTAAATGGAA